CATGTCCAATTCAAGTTGCCAACTGAAGTCTTCATAGACCACGTTCACAACAGCATTATTACCTATCAAGAGCTCTGCAACATTTTTATGACCATAACATGCTGAGCTATGAAACGGAGTTCTACCGGTAATTGAACTTATGTTTAATGAGGCGAACCTGGCGGATTGTTTAGCATCCGTACCTCTTACGCCAAAGTCACGAGCTCAAATCTCACCCCCGGACAAGTCATGAATGGTACAAGGGCAAATAAAAATATTAGTTATAATAATAACAATAAAAATAATAAAATGAAAATAAATATCAGTGGGACCGTCGTTAAACAATTGATCGTGTCCATTTTGATCAGCTAAATTCAAAGGAGTCGATTGTTTTTCATCCTCTGCATTCACGTCAGCGGAGTTCTACCGGAAATTGATCAAATGTTAACAGTGGCTCCTTTTTTTTATAAATAATGCGTTTATTTTTCCAGGCTCATTTGCAGTAGCTTTGCGGAGCTGATATTCATCGTTTAGATTACAAAATTAATTAAAACTCGCGGCTATCTCGAGGTTAGGGGTCAAATTGTAACAAATGGATGGCAGGGTAGGGATTGTGAACACAAGGTTTGTAGAGCAATGTGCTCTTGATCTTGAACTAAGCGACACTCTGATGGAAAAGACAAACATGGGGGTACACCGATGGGCAGCTAACAACTTGGGAGAACACAAGATGACACTAACTACTAAATCCTCAGATCTATCCGTTTTAAAAACACATAAATTAAATTGCAATAGATGGGATCTCGGCTCGCCAAGACATCTCTGTGGATGTGGATAACTCAGATCTGGCAACACGGTGTAATGTACATGACCAAACAACATGCTCGATATCGTGATAACCACTGCCACACGCACATAAATTGCTGCCTGAGAGCCCAATTCGATAGAAGTGCGAGTCTAACGAGCAGTGATTGGACATAAGCCTTGATATAACGCGTATAAAGTCGCGGCTCATGTCCAACCCTTTGAACCATGGTTTGTTCGACACCTGTGGGAGAATGGAATGTAACCATCTTCCCAATTCACCATCATTCCATTTTTGTTGCCAACTGATGTGGACTTGCTGACGAGCAATGGAGAAAAATCCGCCCACCTTAGCCAACGAGTCCGCTTTCTTATTAGCCGGAATTGAGCAATGAGATGGGACCCAAGCTAAGGTGATAGTATAGGAGCAGTTGGATAAAGCACTAAGTTTAGATCGTATTTCAGGCAGGAAATACGAGGAGTGCTTCATCGGCCTCATTGAACGAATAGCCTCCAATGAGCTAAGACTATCCGTAAAAATGAAATAATGGTCAGAAGGTAGTAGGGCAATTCGCTCTACTGCGTAAAATATAGCTGCGAGTTCCGCAACGTATACGGAGCAAGGTTTCTGCAGTTTATAGGAGGCGCTATGAAATTGATACTTGATTGCAAAAATTGAGGGAACAACCATCGACCGATGGTGATCTGGTATTTCATGGAATTCTTGCATCATGGTCAGATCAAAATTTACAGAGGAACTATAGAAGGCTTGAAAGCAATCACGATTGGAGACTAATGAAGAAGGACCAACCTCCAGCGTTAACATTGGCAGCAGCAAGAAGAGCAGATTAAGATGAAAAATTTGAAGTAGGGCACCTCTGCTATTTGAATGAAGAATTTGTTCCTCGCTGACCGTTGTTAACAGCAGAGGAATTTATACACTCATAAAAATTCAATGCTAATTTTAATGTGTCCCACACATGAATTTTTGCAATGTGATAAACAAATGAAATATATGCGTCAAACACATAGTTCTTATGTGAACAAATAAAATTCATATGTCACCACACATACTATTCATTTGACTTATACATTTCATGTGTACTTCTGAGTGGATTCTGGATATTTGGATATTTTTTAAACTTGACTTTCTCATATTTAAAGTTAAATATTAAAGATTTGAATCCAGCGCGCTTTAGCTCGTGTTTAGAACAATGTTACTTTACTTCTTCTGATCCAACTTCAAGCGCGTGCTTGTAGCAAAAAATTAAGTAAATCCAATTTCTAACGCTATTTTCCAGGTAAAATTGCATTCACTCACGTATTCTAAATTTGAGGGCCCACTTCCTTGTAAAATTTTACTTCGCTTCTCGTAATCTGAATTCGGGCGCTCTTGTTCAAGTTCAGCGTCACCCTTATGGAAAGACTAGTGAGTGACTTCTATTCAGTTTGAAATTTCTCATTTACTCAGTTAGTAGACTGGCCCACAAAAATAAAAGTTCTAATTTTCCACGGGCCAACCTCTAGATTTGTGCCTTTAGGTGAGAAAACCATTCTCTGAAAGTTTAAACTCATTTGGTTGGCGCTTTTAGTTTGAATTTTGTATGGAAAATTTGGATAAAATACACGAAGAAAGAACACTCCTACACTCTACGTGTGAATGTGCGGTTTTAGAGCAAATTGTAAACAAACTCAGTAGCTGTCCCATACAAAAATCCAACACCTCCCTATTCGCACGCGCCCGAGGATCGGAGGCGAATGCCGCTTCGACTTGTTTCGTCTACTTACTACTCTCTGACGACTGTGCTGGGGAAGCAGCATATGCATGTAGGTAATTGGAGGATTTGTTAGTTAATTCGACGCTTTTGGACAATGTTGGACATTTACCAGTTTTAAAATAGTTTCTTGTTGAAAATCAACATTCGGAAGCATTGTTATCGATGCGTTGCCATATTTCTGATCGATTGGTGATAAAATTATTGAAATTGGACCAGGGGCAGCTGAGTTATTAACGTTTAAAATCTTTCTTAATTTGTTACATGTTCCATTTTCGGTTTTCACAAAGTGTACCCCCATATAGAAATCAAAGACGTAGCCCTACGTCAAAACTATGCGTTCCTCAGTTTTCAGAAGCCTGTAGTAGTCATTGTAAAGTGTGTTATACAACTTCACCGGAAGGTGTTTCCAAATTATTTCTTATATGTTTCACCGTTTCTTCCCAGAAAACGACATGTCGATTTATTTGTTTAATAAAAAGCGTTTGTTCTAATTCTCATATTCGTCCTTAATAAAGATATTAACCATGAGAACAACAAATTTCGATTTGCGGTATCTTCCAAACGGCTGCTCTCTGTGATTGGTAAGCTACGTATCTTGGCGGCGGATTGCACTTTTAAAACGACCCTAGAGGGCTACCCGCTACTGGTCATCTGTATGGTGGACGAGATGTGCCACGCACACCCTGTGGCATTCGCTACTATCTTGACTAAGTGATTATGCCTTCGCTTTCCAAGCATTGAAAGACACCTGCGTACGAACGGGCGTATCTATGCATATTGAGTAGTTTATCAGTGATGGTGAAATAGCTCTAAAGTCGGCGGCAACATCGGTGTTCGCAACATGCACACCCATCAACTGTTACTTCCACTTGCGGGAAAACTTAAAAAAAAAAACTTGAGGAAGTCGTCGTTAGAAGAGTTTGAAAAGTCCTGTATCGAAAAGGAGATAAGCCAAATACAGGTTGCTCCTACCAGAAGCATTATGTGAAAGCTGCCGAGCTATTTTTCGAAAAGTACAGCAACAATAAGGAATTGCTTCCGTAAGTACGTTGAAAATCCATGAAGAGAGAGCTGTCGCACGGCATGTTTTTGAGTAACGACGCAATTGTCCCCTGCTACAGGTTCCTCTGGGGGTATCCAGTGGTTCCGAGAGCGGCCAATGTGGTCAATGATTCACTTTAAGTCTATAGAAAGAATATTCATGAAAATCCATGAAGAAAGAGCTATCGCACGGCATGTTTTTGAGTAAAAACGCAATTGCCCTCTACTATAGGTTCCCCCCGGGGGTATCCCGTAATTCCAAGAGCTGGTCACTGATCCATTTGAAGTTTAATGAATGCCTATTCATGAAAACCCATGAAGAATGAGCTATCGCACGGCATGTTTTGGTGTAAAAATGCAATTGTCATCTGCTCCAGGTCCCCCCCCCCCCCCCCGGGGGCAATGTGGTCATCCCAGGAAAGGTCAATGTGGTCAATGATGCATTTAAAGTTTATCAAAAGTCTATTGACGAGAAACCATGAAGAAAGAGCTGTCGCACGGCATGTTTTGAGTGATTAAATGATCTGCCCGCATTCAGAACCCTCCACCAGAACCGATTCCAGAGAAATGGCCATATCTCGGTTGATTATTGGCCAATTTTAGTTCTTGGCATATGATTCGCTTTAGAAATGGTTCTTCTTTCGTTGTATTTACTAAAAATATATATATATATTTAACCAGCATCATATATAAAATTTCACCAACAATTTAGCAAGTTAGACAAGCCCTCCGGAAACCCGGAATATCTCCGGTATCCGGTGACCAGAATTATTTTCGTGGCTACATCAAAAAACAATATTAGTTTTCCAGTCAAATGCTCTTAGAAGATTTAAAATCGGATCATATTTGACGAAGTTACAACACTCCAAAGTTGACCAAAAATTTGCCTATCCTAGTTATTTTGAGTAATTTATTTTTAAAGGACAATATACAGCAAATAAGGAGCAATAACTTATCCTATATATGTTTTTTGAGCTTTTTAATCAGCCAGTATGTATGTTTACAGTGCCCTGTCCTTGTCATAAAGTGAAAATACCCACAGTTTACGAAGCAATGTTTCTTCTTGTATGGGAATTTTACTTTAATATAGCGACTACAGCTGCATTTAAAACGTATCATTCCTGAACAGAAAATAAGGAACATCACTTTTGTAATGGAGCATTTGCATGATTTAAAGTGTGCCTTATTTCAATATCTACGGAAATTTATCATGCCTATATGCACATTTCTTACGCATCGCAAAGATCATTGTATCAAATTTAATGGAGCGTTGTTTTATTTTGGGGGAACATTTGAAACATATTATGTCGCATCTACCTTTTTGCCAAAAAACTTCAATAAGGGAAAAAAAAAAACTAGTACTGAAAACAGAGTGCAAGCAACACTAGACCGAAACAGTCAAACGTTCGATGCGGAATGTGTGGCCCCTTTGTGAATCAACAGTTGGATCAACTGATCGTGTCCATTTTGAGCTGCATAATGAATAGCAGTCCATTGTTTTTCATCCACTGCATTCACGTCAGCATTATTTGATATCAAGAGTTCTGCAACGTTCTTATGACCATTCCGTGCTGCACTATGAAGTGGAGTTACACCGTCAATTGAACAAATGTGAATAGTGGATCCTCTGTCAATCAACAGTTGAATCAACTGGTCGTGTCCATTTTGAGCTGCATAATGAATAGCAGTCCATTGATTTTTATCCACTGCATTCACGTCAGCATTGTTTGATATCAAGAGTACTGCAACGTTCTTATGACCATTCCGTGCTGCACTATGAAGTGGAGTTACACCGTCAATTGAACAAATGTGAATAGTGGATCCTTTATCAATCAACAGTTGGATCAACTGATCGTGTCCATTATGAGCAGCTAAATTCAAAGGAGTCCATTGATTTTCATCCACTGCATTCACGTCAGCATTGTTTGATATCAAGAGTTCTGCAACGTTCTTGTGACCATTGAATGCTGCGGTATGCAGTGGAGTTCTACCGGTAATTGAACAAATGTTAATAGTGGATCCTTTATCAATCAACATTTGGATCAACTGATCGTGTCCATTATGAGCAGCTAAATTCAAAGGAGTCCATTGATTTTCATCCACTGCATTCACGTCAGCATTGTTTGATATCAAGAGTTCTGCAACGTTCTTATGACCATTAAATGCTGCGTTATGAAGTGGAGTTCTACCGGTAATTGAACAAATGTTAACAGTGGATCCTTTGTCAATCAACAATTGGATCAACTGATCGTGTCCGTTATGAGCAGCTAAATTCAAAGGAGTCCATTGTTTTTCATCCACTGCATTCACGTCAGCATTGTTTGATATCAAGAGTTCTGCAACGTTCTTGTGACCATTGAATGCTGCGGTATGCAGTGGAGTTCTACCGGTAGTTGAACAACCGTTAACAGTGCATCCTTTATTAATCAACAGTTGGATCAACTGATCGTGTCCATTTCGAGCTGCAAAATGAATAGCAGTCCATTGATCTTTATCCACTGCATTCACGTCTAAATTGTTTGATATCAAGAGCTCTGCAACGTTCTTGTGACCATTGAATGCTGCGCTATGAAGTGGACTTCTACCGGTAATTGAACAAATGTTAACAGTGGATCCTCTGTCAATCAACAGTTGGACCAACTGGTCGTGTCCATTTTGAGCTGCAGAATGAATAGCAGTCCATTGATCTTCATCCACTGCATTCACGTCAGCATTGTTTGATATCAAGAGCTCTGCGACGTTCTTATGACCATTGAATGCTGCGGTATGAAGTGGAGAATAACCGGTAGTTGAACAAGTGTTAACAGTGGATCCTTTGTCAATCAACAGTTGGATCAACTGATCGTGTCCAATTTCAGCTGCATAATAAAGAGCAGTCCTTTGATATTCATCCACTGCATTCACGTCAGCATTGTTTGATATCAAGAGTTCTGCAACGTTCTTATGACCAGTGAATGCTGCGATATGAAGTGGAGTATAACCGGTAGTTGCACAAGTGTTAACAGTAGATCCTTTGTCAATCAACAGTTGAATAAACTGGTCGTGTCCATTTTGAGTTGCATAATGAATAGCAGTCCATTGATCTTCATCCACTGCATTCACGTCAGCATTGTTTGATATCAAGAGTTCTGCAACGTTCTTATGACCATTGAATGCTGCGGTATGAAGTGGAGTATAACCGGTAGTTGAACAAGTGTTAACAGTGGATCCTTTGTCAATCAACAGTTGGATCAACTGATCGTGTCCATTTTGAGCTGCAAAATGAATAGCTGTCCATTGATTTTCATCTCCTGCATTCACGTCAGCATTGTTTGATATCAAGATTTTTGCAACGTTCTTATGACCATTGAATGCTGCGTTATAAAGCGGAGTTACACCGGTAATTGAACAAATGTTAACAGTGGATCCTTTATCAATCAACAGTTGGATCAACTGATCGTGTCCATTTTGAGCAGCTAAATTCAAAGGAGTCCATTGTTTTTCATCCACTGCATTCACGTCAGCATTGTTTGATATCAAGAGCTCTGCAACGTTCTTATGACCATTCCGTGCTGCGCTATGAAGTGGAGTTCTACCGGAGATTGAACAAATGTGAATAGTGGATCCTTTATCAATCAACAGTTGGATCAACTGATCGTGTCCATTTCGAGCTGCAAAATGTATAGCAGTCCATTGATTTTCATCCACTGCATTCACGTCAGCATTGTTTGATATCAAGAGCTCTGCAACGTTCTTATGACCATTCCGTGCTGCGCTATGAAGTGGAGTTACACCGGTAATTGAACAAATGTGAATAGTGGATCCTTTATCAATCAACATTTGGATCAACTGATCGTGTCCATTATGAGCAGCTAAATTCAAAGGAGTCCATTGTTTTTCATCCACTGCATTCACGTCAACATTGTTTGATATCAAGAGTTCTGCAACGTTCTTGTGACCATTGAATGCTGCGTTATGAAGTGGAGTTCTACCAGCAGTTGAACAAGTGTTAACAGTGGATCCTTTGTCAATCAACAGTTGGATCAACTGATCGTGTCCATTATGAGCAGCTAAATTCAAAGGAGTCCATTGATTTTCATCCACTGCATTCACGTCAGCATTGTTTAATATCAAGAGTTCTGCAACGTTCTTGTGACCATTGAATGCTGCGTTATGAAGTGGAGTTCTACCAGTAGTTGAACAAGTGTTAACAGTGGATCCTTTGTCAATCAACAGTTGGATCAACTGATCGTGTCCATTTCGAGCTGCAAAATGTATAGCAGTCCATTGATCTTCATCCACTGCATTCACGTCTAAATTGTTTGATATCAAGAGTTCTGCAACGTTCTTATGACCATTCCGTGCTGCGCTATGAAGTGGAGTTACACCGGTCGTTGAACAAGTGTTAACAGTGGATCCTTTGTCAATCAACAGTTGGATCAACTGATCGTGTCCATTTTGAGCTGCATAATAAAGAGCAGTCTTTTGTTTTTCATCCACTGAGTTCACGTCAGCTTTATTTTTTAATAAGAATTCACATATTTCAACAAACCCACGTTTCGCAGCAACCAATATCATATCCGTTAGGTTGTTTGTTGAGAATGATTTAAAATGTCCTTCTAAAGAGGAAATGATACTCAAACAGTCACACTCACATGCCCACAGTGCAATCTTCCAGTTTTTTTCACACAGATTATTTAAGATATTGAGATATGCCTGGTTTCCTTCCATCTTGGCCATAGACAATCTTCGAACAACAATATATGTAGACAAAATGTGTATGACAATTTCTCCTGACAACGTGAAAATGTTGTCGCATAGATATATTGCCACAAAGTATTCACTGTAAGACCGATGGCAAAAATCAACCTTCTGCTGGACTACATGAACCAGTTGTGATGAATCTGATTCCTGTTCGCATCGGTTTTTAAATTGATCGTGTATGTCTCTATAATATTGATTTTTAAACAATTCCTTACGTAATTCAATGTTTAGCAGCTCCATAGCTAACAACTGATGCTTCAAAATAAAATCACCCATCAACCAATCCAATTCAGCGTCGCTCAGATCAAATTTGGGCTTAAATTTTTCCATAAATTTCTTGTGAAAACTTCTTCTTATAAACTCTTTGTAAAGCTGTGCAATATTCATTTTTTCTTTAGTCAGATCAACGAGCTGATTGGTATTCTGTTTTTTCAATGAATGGTAATTTCTAAACTTTTCTAAATAAACCTCCGCCAGCATTTTTACCATGAGTGGCGCACCACAAATTTCGCCTAAATTTGAAGGGATATTTGATTTAAATGTGTTTAAAATATGTTTCGAGTAGCTTTCAAAGCAATGTTCATCTAGATCTGGTTCGTGCCACATCTTTCTGAAATAGTTGATTTGGTCTTCCACAATGAACGGCTCCAGAAACATAGATCTTACATTAAATTTACTCTCTAATAATACTTGCATATGTTTTCTGGCGCTGATGATGATTCGAATGCTCTTTTTCAACTTGAGTTGTTCCAGCATCTTAATCACCTTGTCGGTGTACTTGGAGTGGATCTCGTCGAAGCCATCCATCACTATAAGAATGGAGTAGCCTCTGTCATCCCTTTCATGTGGGGCATTTTCAATGAGATCGCAATTTCGCTCTGAAAGGATCACTTTGAGGACATTAAGCACCTTCAACTCTGAAATGTGTTCTACTTTTTCGAGCTCCATCACCAACTCGCCTAAATACACTAACAGTACATTAACGACATTTTGCTTCTGCACTTCAAAGGCTACAAACTGAAGCAAGCTAGTCTTCCCCATTCCGGGGTCTGCTAGAAGTACGATGATCTGATGGTCTTCAAATGTTTGCCCAAGCTCTTCAACAAACTGAGTGTCACTCATCTGTCGTGAAAGTTCTTCAATGTTGCCTTCCATACCTGGTTGGTTGTCTTTATTAAGGAGATTTTCAGCCAGACGCTGGTTCATCTCGGCCTCTTCCATACCTGTTTTCTCAACTTCAATGACATTTTCGTCATTGGTCGGTTTACTATATTTGTATATAATACGGCGATTGATGTAATATTTTTGCAATTGTTTTGCTTCCTTACCTTCAAGTTTATCGTTATCATTCTGAATTTCACTAAGACAGTTTAGTACATCACTTTTTTTCAACATTGCCTTCATTTTATTCTTTTTAGGTTTATTGAGTTGGTCAAATTTTAATATCAGATCTCTAAATATCAGATCGATTTCTCTCAATTTTCTGAGAATTTCTGGACAGATCCACGATTTACACCACGTCCACAGCTCGCTTTCAATAATTGGATACAAATCATTTGGTTGACTCACCAATAGAGAAAAGTCGTTGAAGAATGCCACAATTTCCTCCTCACTAAAATAACGTGGCAAATGTTTCACCCTTGAGTTTCTTAGTAAAAAGTTATTCACTGTTATTGTCTTCTTCATATCAAGCTTATCTTTTTCCAGATCTTTAAACAACTTGGCAACATTGAATTGTTCGCTTTCCGAGTTGAAGCTATCTAAAAAACTGCATTGCTTCTTTTTTATTGTTAAAACGTCTTTCAGAGGAGTACTATAGGTTTCTAAAATGTTACTGACGGTTCCATTGTCGAAAAGCTCTATGATTGCCTTTTTAATGTTTTCGAAATCTTTGTTGATAAAACTGCTCAACTCCTTAATAGCTTTTTCGGTTGGATCCAGTTTCAGGTGTCGGGCCTTGGATCCAGGAAATCGTAGGATTTCATCTACTTCTACCTCAACAGTCCTCACCCAATCAACATTGGAGATGTTTAAATCCTTATTAGTAAATATATAGAACTGCTTTTTGTATTGGTCTTTCTTAAAGTTTTCAACAACTTTCAAATAGGATTCCAGGTACTTGTAAATACTGAAGTCTCCGTTGTGTTGATCTTTTTCCACGGTCGGAAATAGTGCATTTAAATCGATAACATTTACCTTGCCATCTTTGGTAACGGCGTGCTTCACCTGGATGAAGTGTGACACCTCACGTCCATCGTCAATGATCACTACGTCATCATACTTGTCGGCTTTTGACATTTCATATGCCAATCTGACATTGAAACTGTCTCTCCGCATCCGTAGAAAAAAGGTGACTGCAACTTGTTTTTGATATACTTCGCCGTGGTAGCCTGATTGGATTTTTCTTTCATATGTTCCGTCTTGTAATAGGTTCGGCATTTTCAATTGTTTTTCATCCGCTGCATTCACGTCAGCTTTATTCTTTGATAATAATTCATATATTTCAACAAACCCACTTTCCGCAGCAACCAGTATCATATCCGTTAGGTTGCTTGTTGAGAATGATTTAAAATGTCCTTCTAAAGAGGAAATGATACTCAAACAGTCACACTCACATGCCCACAGTGCAATCTTCCAGTTTTTTTTACACAGATTATTTAAGATATTGAGATATGCCTGGTTTCCTTCCATCTTGGTCATAGACAATCTTCGAACAACAGTATATCTAGACCAAATGCGTCTGACAATTTTTCCTGACAACGTAAAAATGTTGTCGCATAGATATTTTGCCACAAAGTATTCACTGTAAGACCGATGGCAAAAATTAACCTTCTGCTGGACTACATGAACCAGTTGTGATGAATCTGATTCCTGTTTGCATCGTTTTTTAAATTGATCGTGTATTACTTTATAATATTGATTTTTTAATAAGTCCATACGTACTTCAATATTTAGCAGTTCCATAGCTAACAACTGATGCTTCAAAATAAAATCACCCATCAACCAATCCAATTCAGCGTCGCTCAGAGCAAATTTGGGCTTAAATTTTTCCATAAATTTCTTGTGAAAACATCTTCTTATAAACTGTTCGTATAGCTGTGCAATATTCATTTTTTCTTTAGTCAGATCAACGAGCTGATTGGTATTCTGTTTCTTCAATGAATGGTAATTTCTAAATTTTTCTAAATAAACCTCCGCCAGCATTTTCACCATGAGTGGCGCACCACAAATTTCGCCTAAATTTGAAGGGATATTTGATTTAAATGTGTTTAAAATATGTTTCGAGTAGCTTTCAAAGCAATGTTCATCTAGATCTGGTTCGTGCCACATCTTTCTGAAATAGTTGATTTGGTCTTCCACAATGAACGGCTCCAGAAACATAGATCTTACATTAAATTTACTCTCTAATAATACTTGCATATGTTTTCTGGCGCTGATGATGATTCGAATGCTCTTTTTCAACTTGAGTTGTTCCAGCATCTCAATCACCTTGTCAGTGTACTTGGAGTGGATCTCGTCGAAGCCATCCATCACTATAAGAATGGAATAGTCTCTGTCATCCCTTTCATGTGGGGCATTTTTAATGAGATCGCAATTTCGCTCTGAAAGGATCACTTTGAGCACATTATGCACCTGCAAATCTGAACTGTGTTCTACTTTTTCGAGCTCCATCACCAACTCGCTTAAATACACTAACAGTACATTAACGACATTTTGCTTCTGCACTTCAAAGGCTACAAACTGAAGCAAGCTAGTCTTCCCCATTCCGGGGTCTGCCAGAAGTACGATGATCTGATGGTCTTCAAATGTTTGCCCAAGCTCTTCAACAAACTGAGTGTCACTCATCTGTCGTGAAATTACTTCAATGTTGTCTTCCATACCTGGTTGGTTGTCTTTATTAAGGAGATTTTCAGCCAGACGCTGGTTCATCTCGGCCTCTTCCATACCTGTTTTCTCAACTTCAATGACATTTTCGTCATTGGTCGGTTTACTATATTTGTATATAATACGGCGATTGATGTAATATTTTTGCAATTGTTTTGATTCCTTACCTTCAAGTTTATCGTTATCATTCTGAATTTCACTAAGACAGTTTAGTACATCACTTTTTTTCAACATTGCCTTCATTTTATTCTTTTTAGGTTTATTGAGTTGGTCAAATTTTAATATCAGATCTCTAAATATCAGATCGATTTCTCTCAATTTTCTGAGAATTTCTGGACAGATCCACGATTTACACCACGTCCACAGCTCGCTTTCAATAATTGGATACAAATCATTTGGTTGACTCACCAATAGATAAAAGTCGTTGAAGAATGCCACAATTTCCTCCTCACTAAAATAACGTGGCAAATGTTTCACCCTTGAGTTTCTTAGTAAAAAGTTATTCACTGTTATTGTCTTCTTCATATCAAGCTTATCTTTTTCCAGAACTTTAAACAACTTGGCAACATTGAATTGTTCGCTTTCCGAGTTGAAGCTATCTAAAAAACTGCATTGCTTCTTTTTTATTGTTAAAACGTCTTTCAGAGGAGTACTATAGGTTTCTAAAATGTTACTGACGGTTCCATTGTTGAAAAGCTGTATGATTGCCTTTTTAAGGTTTTCGAAATCTTTGTTGATAAAATTACTCAACCCCTTAATAGCTTTTTCGGTTGGATCCAGTTTCAGGTGTCGGGCTTTGGATCCAGGAAATCGTAGGATTTCATCTACTTCTACCTCAACAGTCCTCACCCAATCAACATCGGAGATGTTTAAATCCTTATTAGTAAATATATAGAACTGCTTTTTGTATTGGTCTTTCTTAAAGTTTTCAACAACTTTCAAATAGGATTCCAGGTACTTGTAAATACTGAAGTCTCCGTTGTGTTGATCTTTTTCCACGGTCGGAAATAGTGCATTTAAATCGATAACATTTACCTTGCCATCTTTGGTAACGGTGTGCTTCACCTGGATGAAGTGTAAAACCTCACGTTCATCGTCAATGATCACTACGTCATCGTACTTGTCGGCTTTTGACACTTCATATGCCAATCTGACATTGAAACTGTCTCTCCGCATCCGTAGAAAAAAGGTGACTGCAACTTGTTTTTGATATACTTCGCCGTGGTAGCCTGATTGGATTTTTCTTTCATATGTTCCGTCTTGTAATAGGTTCGGCATTTTGAATCAACTGGGGAATAGAAGAGAAATGACGCATTAGCGAAAGTGACAAAGGTGCTACAGTACATCTTTTCACTTCAACAACAGTCCTGTAATGGAGCCGCCAAATGACTTCTCCGATTTGCATTAAAAGTGTTAAAACCTAAGTAGGGTTAACTACCCCATTTTCGGCCTATTAAGCACAACCCGCACTTAGTCTTTCTTAATCTAGCGCAGTTTAGCACCAAACGGAATGTTATTATTACTGATGGCTTCCAAATTTATTTGCCTTTCTGTACGCACCGTAAGATTTGATAAAGAGGAACCAATCGTTGAGATATTGTCAAAAGTCTTACACTGCTTCTTGACGCCAAACTCGGCCTACGGATTCTAAACTCGTTCTAACGCATTGAAACGCCATTGAAACGCAAATAAATTCACTTCGGCCTATCGGATGAAGATAAAAATTTATTCGGTCGGAGCGCTTCTTTTGTTTTTGGGAATAATGGGTGCAAACCTTCATATCACGCCTTCTGATTGACTTCGTTCGGTAGCTTATTAACTAAAGTATCGTACCAAACTCATAATTGACTTGTTAACTCAGAAATCATGGAATTATTTTGTGTTGTCTGCACGATAGGCCCGAAATGGGCGATTAGGCCGAAGTAGTTGTCTACCCTGTCTCAAAATCATTTTGCTGATTTTAATTTTTTTTTATTCATTCATTCCTTTTTTCATATAATTTATACTTATAAAATAAGGTTTAAGGCATTTTAAATATTTTTTTAAAAGCATTAATGCGTACCAAAATTAAAAATAAATTCATTTTCCATGTTTTTTCACTCTAAAAGATTCCATAGTTTTGAAAATTGAAAAAGCTTGCCTTTCTTAAAACCTTTTTTATTTGTTTTTTATAAACCGGGCAAGGAAATTTTGAGGTTACACTTCCATTACATTTTTACTTAAAATAAAATATAAACATTTTTTGGGAACAGAAAGACATTATTTTCTTCTGCAACTTTGTTTCAGACGTCATTTCGATCAGGAATGCCGTTTCCGCGTTACAGCTTTTAGAATAAATTAATGGATGCCATTTTGAAAGTTTTACATGAACAATACCAAAATAATACCACACAGGTATTCTTTTGATATCCAAATATCACTTTTAGTTACTGACAAAGTATTTTGCATGCAGTTTTTTCGTAGTACTCTTTGGTCCTGGTCCTATCGAATATGAACCTCGATCTAGAAAGGATCAGCATGTGGAATAGCGCTTCTTTTTCACTCTTTATCATTCATATGTAACCACATTGTTGACGTCACTTTCACTTCTCGCGTAAAAACTGATGAGGATGAAAGAGATAGTGTTTTCATCATGTTTAAATCACGAGCCAAATAGATCATCTCACGACCACATATATAACGAACTGTAAAGTCAAGTGATAGCACGCCCAACAATGCATTAGCTCCTAAATAACATTGACAGATTCTTTTAGTAGATTTTTTCTTTGCACCCCCATGGACATGTATGGATTCTTCCAGCTATTTCCAACACATAGTTCGATAAAAGAAGCTATTATCTAGCATCTAATACGGCAAATTCGGCAAGAAACGGATTTGTAGCCAAATTATTAATGAAAGAGAAAGTGGAAGAGGTGGATCGATCAATGTTACTTAGGACCTAATGCATTGTTCGGCTTGATAGTTTTTTCGAAGGGCCTATACGGTAAATGGATATGACTCATATTTGAATCCCGATTACTCAAATTCGCAAAAAAGTATAATGAATGAGTAAATGTTTTCTCAAATATGATTAAACGTCACTCAAACTCTACGAGTAAATTTTTGCGAGTTTGAGTGCACGGTACTCAAATATGAGTTAGTCTCATTTGCCGTGAAGTTTGTTTTGACGGGAGGATTGATTGCACGCTATTTTTAAACAACCCACATTTTAGTAGGATCTACTCATATCCGTCAAAAGTAGGGCTACCGAAAATTGAGCAAACTGACAAGATGACAAATGAATAAAATCGGTTGGATTCGGGTTGATGTTTTCTATTCGTCATCTTGTTAGTCTAAACTTTGTTTACTCAATTTCGTGTACCCTACTTTTGACAAATATGAGTAGATCCTTCTCAAATTTGGGTTGTTTAGAAATAGCGACGACCCCTCCTTTCACGCAAATATTAACATTTTTCCTGGGACTTTCCAGTGGAGTGAAAAGATAAGAAACTATCCACTTTGTTTCACGAAATTCGGGGTTTCCTATACACTGAGGCAAATAGACTTAAGAATTTCATAAGACTCGTTTTATGAACGACAAATATGAATTTCATAAGCGCGACTTATGAAAGATTTTCGTCTAACATAATGTAGCTCTTATACGCCTTTAGCTATTTCACTTTCTCAAGCGTTGAAAGACGAGTGGTCAACGCACGAGCTCCGTATTCTCAACGTCCATGGTTCGGTTCCAGTTTGCTCCGATTTATTATTTTTTTTTTCATTATTATTTTTCATAAGGCAAATCAATGAAATTCATACTGATTTCTTGTGGCTAAAATTCATAAGTGTTTCTTATGGAATTCTTACGTTCTTTTGCCTGCGTGTAGGAGTGAACAGTTGCAGAGTCGTCATCAACGCGAATGGTTGCACCAATACCAAAACAAAGTTATCAAATAAAGTTCGTGGGCCATAATTGAAAACAAGCATCAAAATTACGTCCCTAATGTTCGGTCCATAGATATAAAGCGCTGAAAGCGTTAAATCTTTTCAATTAGCAGGAAGAGTGAAAAGTGAGATATTCATTTATTATTCTAGCATGCTACAAAAAGGTCAGTCCTTTCAATTCATGAAATTATCTAGTTTTTTTATGACCACAGCTCTGTAAGTTTTCGTTAGTGCAATAATACGGCGCCTAGAAATCAAAAATTAAATAATTTTCGCTAAACTTTTTCTTTGAAAAAGAGTAATAAATGTTCAGAATCTGTCCCAAAAATTGGGCAATTCATTAACGGATTGCAATTTTACAGCAGATGTGGTATTAGTGTTTCATAACTTTTGTGTATTATTGCTGAATAGATGAGTTATTTGCTTGATAGGCCGAAGTGAGAGGCTAGGCTGACATTACATCCCGTAACCCGAGCTTGCCCGTGTGGGAAAAATCGTTACATTTTGCATTTACTACTCACTCACACGCATCCCTAGCAGGAACCTTAAATTGGTATGGATGAGCCTGACGTAAGAGGTAAAATATAATACCAAAAAAATGTTCCCACAATACTATTCCAATATCAAATTATGATAGTGCAATACCAAAACAATACCACACAGGTATTTTATTGATATGCAAATACCAAGTATTTTGCATGCATTTTTTGATATTATTCTTTGGTATTTTACCTCTCATGTCATGCTTTCAGTCATACAAGTCATGGGCAGGTATCCCATTCAACAAGTGGTGGCGGGCTCATACGAAGGTTTCGTGATCGCCAAAATCAATGGAATCTATGTATGTAGTTGCTACGCACCCCCGAGATGGACAGTTGAGCAGTTCCACCAGATGCTAGATGGGCTCACCGGAGAGCTCATTGGACGGAGACCAGTCGTCATCGCAGGAGATTTCAATGCTTGGGCAGTGGATTGGGGGAGCAGGTGTACCAACGCAAGAGGGTATAGTCTGTTGGAAGCTCTGGCAAAGTTGAACGTCAGTCTGGCCAACTTAGGAACCATCAGCACCTTCCGCAAAGATGGTAGGGAATCCATTATCGACGTCACTTTCTGCAGTACGTCGCTAATGGTAAATATGAACTGGAGAGTGTGCGAAGAGTACACCCATAGTGACCATCATGCGATCCGGTACAGTATCGGCGAACGGACACCGGTGGAAATGCGGAGGACGAAAGTAAGCGAGCGGAAGTGGAAGACGAAAGCATTCAATAAGGATCTCTTCATCGAAGCTCTAAGGGTAGATAGCAGCGTCTCGGGTCTAAGCGCGAACGAGTTGACCGAATCATTAGTAAGGGCATATGACACAACTATGCCGAGAAAACTAAAGCCAACGAACAAGCGGCATCCAGCTTACTAGTGGAACAAGGAAATTAGCATCCTCCGTGCTAGTTGTCTTCCAGCCATAAGGCGCGTTCAGAGAGCAAGAACGGAAGCAGACAGATGGAGCGCAGGGTGATGTTCCGAGAGGCCAGGGCTGCACTAAAACGAAAGATAAAGCTGAGCAAGTCAAACAGTTTCAAGGAGCTGTGCCGCGATGTTGATGCCAACCCCTGGGGCAACGCATACCGAGTCGCGATGGCAAAGATCAGAGGTCCAACGATGCCGGTTGAAATGTGTCCCAACAAGCTGAAAGTCATAGTGGAGGTACTTTTCGCACAGCATGAACCAACGACCTGGCCACTTACACCATATTGGCGATGAAGATGGAGACAACGTTGAACAAGTATCCAACGAGGAACTCCTAGCACGGATTGTCGGAGAGGCAGTTCGGATTCCGTAAAGGGAGAACGACAGTGGCTGCAATTCGCACAGTGGTCGAGAGAGCTGAGAAAGCTTCCAAACAGAAGCGGAGAGGAAATCGATACTGCACCGTGATTACGACTGATGTGAAGAATGCATTCAATAGCGCCAGCTGGGATGCCATCGCCAAGGCGCTCCATAGAATGAGGGTTCCAGACTACCTCTGCAGGATTCTAAGTAGTTACTTCCAGAATTGGGTCCTGGTCTACGCGACAGACACGGGGTAGAAATCGTTTAGAATCACGGTAGGATGTACAATGGCGTGCTGACGCTCAAGCTGCCCAAAGGAGTTGAGATCGTTGGCTTTGCGGACGATGTCGTCTTGACGGTAACCGGTGAGACGCTGGAAGAAGTGGAAATGCTGGCGACCGAGGCTATAGATACGATTGGTAACTGGATGCAAGGAGCGAAGCTGTAGATACACACTAAAAAAATATGAATATTACCGGTGACGCAAATCCAAAAATGAATCAATATAACATGACGCAACTTGAAAAATGACAG